TTTTTTTATATTCGTTGCGTTAATCTTAAGGTACGGGCCTGTCTAACTATCGTAGCTTATTAATTTCTATCCTTGTGTAATGTTTTGCTTTTCCTTCACTATGTTCTTATTATATGCTTGTAACCGCCTCTGCTAGCGACCATTACCTACAGTGTCGATTAAGAATCACGCCTGGAATTCTTCCCGCCTTGTAAGCCCTAATTTTCCAATGTAGTTCTTGCCATGCATACCTAGCGTTTCCCGTGCACCCCTTATACCGGCAGCTTACTGATGTGGCCCTTGTCACCAGGAATTACGTCACGGTTTCAATAACCGAACCGGACAACGAACCTGTCACAGCACCTGAGTGGAGTGGCGTCACAGCACCTGAGTGGAGTGGCCGAGCTGACGGAACTACGCCTGGAGGACGGGAGCTCGCCAGGGAAGTGTGGAGAACTAAGCAAGTGCTAAAGACCTAGGCAGACCCTTCAATTTTTTTTTAATATACCCACATACTTTATTAATTCTAAACCTAGTTTTATTTCTCTCTTGTACACGTCTTATAAACGTGACACTTGACACATTTATTTCAGACACATAATATTAACATTAAGGGCGTCAGCGTTTGCTGAAAAACCTGATTCTATAAACTGCGATGTTCACTCCACTCCGTTTGTCGAGAGTGGACATTACCTATGTCAAACTACTATGCAATTGTTTATGTAATACGTATACGTATATGTGTGAGGTGTCTACTTACATTATTCTTTAAACCCAAGCAAATATGTCCAGTCGATGAAATTATATGTAAGAAGAGTTAACACATTCCTTAGTTATCCTCGTGTCAGATAAATTATTATAATCTAATTGTATGTCTGTATCACCTTGTGTGTGTGGAACAATAAAGGTTATTATTTTATAGCAGTGCTCACACTTTCATTGACTGATTAATAAAGACAGCATACCTACCTACAACCATCTAACCCACACTGCCCATAGTCCAGCTGTGGACTCGTAGGTGCCATTTCAACTAATAAATAGGGTATGATAATAATACTAAGTTTCTATTCCTGTGTGTACAGTTTTCAATAGAGTTGATTTTAAC